TCCTGGAGAGGGGGAAACCAGGCTGCTCCTTGGAGGCAAGGATTCTGAAGCTTCGTCTGACATACTTTGGACATGTTGCAAGGAAGGGCCAGTCCTTGGAGAGCAACATCATGCTTGGGAGGGTGGAGGGACAGCACAGGAGAGAAAGACCCTCGATGACATGGATTGCTTCAAGGACTGGGGTAATGGGGTAGGTGTGTCAGAGACAGTAAGATTGGCACAGGATAGAGCAGGGTTTAGGGCTGTTGTACATAGGGTCGCTATGAGATGCAAGCGACTGAACAGTACATAACAACAAAAACATTCATTTGAATTTTCATTCACTGACATTACTAAATATGTATATAATAGCTTTTGAAAATAATGGGTAAAGCATTTATCTCCATACTCTGAAAGGATTCTTCCTCCTCTGTATTTCTATCTATATTATGCCCTTAAATAGATTATACAGAAATTATCTTTCTTTTGTCTATCTTCCCTAGATTTGATTGTAATATTCTTGAGAACAGAAGACTTATTTTGCTTGTCATTACATAATTAGTCTCCTCTTTCCAAACCTAGTTCCTGGCATAGCATATGAAGGTACTCAAATATGCTTGATACCTACATAAACGAAACAAGTAACTGATAAATGTACAAAAGAGTACTACACTAGCTGACTGACCCTTCATGATCCTAAGAATCAGATTTGGAGTGAACATACCCTCACTCCAACTGCACATAGGCCCATCTATTATTTGGCTGACAGGTAACCTCTGTCTGTGACTTCAATCTTAAGTTTAACTTGACAGTTGGAAGAAAGGTACACCCAAGTTGTGGAGATTGGAGAGACAACAAAATTAAACATTATCAAGTGTAATAACTCACTCATACACAACGTAACCCATATGGGGAAGTGGGAAAAATACGAAGGCAAAAAAAGAGAGAAATGAATGGTAAAGCAGAGAAGAGATTTTACAGACAACAGAGTCTGCTAGGAAGATGGGTAAATGAAAAGATTTTTTTATACACTCTTCAAAGAAGTATCTTTCTTTTTTAAATTGTTTTTTTAACTGTTTTTCATTCTCTCATTCATACACATCACTCCCTCCAATCTATAATGTATGTCCTGTTCTAGATTGGTACTTGCATTACACATAATATCTGATCATCCATTCATTTCAGACTCACTTTCCCTTCATTTATTCCACTACAGTGTTTATTATCTATTAGAAGTATACAGAAGACTGTATACTTCAGTGACTAATCAACACTCTTGTTACCAGCAGCTAGGAAATTAAAAGACGAATTGCATTGGGAAAGTCGGCTGTCAGGGACCTGTCCAGCGTGCTGAAGAGCAACAATAACAGGCTGGAGAAGGTGTACATGATCCAGGCCATGGTCTTTACAATTGCTTGCTATGCGCCAGAGAGCTGGACAATGTCTAGGGATGATAGAAAGAGAATTGATGCCTTTGAGCTGTGGTGTTGGAGAAGAGTGTTGAATATACCATGGACTGCTAGGAGAAAAAAAAAGGTTCTTCTTGGAGAGGGTGAAACCATGCTGCTCCTTGGAGGCAAGGATTCTGAAGCTTCATCTGATATACTTTGGACATGTTGCAAGGAGGGACTGGTCCTCAGAGAAGGACATCATGCTTGGGAGGGTGGAGGGACAGCACAGGAGAGGAAGACCCTCAATGAGATGGACTGATTCATTCACTGGGGCAATGGAGGTAGGTGTGTCAGACACAATGAGATTGGCACAGGATAGAGCAGAGCTAGGGTACACAGGGTCGCTATGAGTCGCAAGCAACCTGAAGGCACATAACAACAAGAACAACAAAAATCTCAATTGGTCAAAGTGATCATGAGTTAATCCAATATGGCCTTGTATTTTACCAAGAAAAGAAAACCACAAAAAGAACTGTAAGGGTAGAGGAAAAACTATAAATAATTTAAGTTCTGTAAACCGGAGTGAGCCACAATTTCTTTAAGCCACAGTTTTCACACACTATCGGGGCAGGGCAGCAGAATATGGAATACAGGGAAAGGAGAAAGAATGGACACAGTTATCTTTGAATGATAACACAGATGGAGACTCAAAGAGAAGATAATACACTGAAGTGTTTTGATTCTTCTAAAGGTCTACACAATCTACCTTTTCCTATCAGAAAGACATTAGCAGATTTCAACCTTTCACTCTGTGTACAAGACTACAGAAAAATATGCAGAAAGATTTTATTTTGCATTTACTCTGGGGAAAAAAACAAATAAACTGACTATTTTCATTAAGTTCAAGCTCCTGAAACCAATGCTCATAAATCCTAGTGTGAACAACTTAAGAGACTGGAATTTCATTTAAGAACTCGCATTCTTACTAGACTCTATTGAGCTGCTCTTTGGCCACTCACAAGGTTAGATATGAAACACTAAATTTTAAGATAATACTTCATTGTGTTTTTTATAGATCTTTATACAGCAAATTAGCTTCTCATATAGTCATTTCTATGTATATTGTTCAGTGACAATGGTTACATATTTCAGAGTGTATCAATATTCTTATTTCCTTTAGAGCTGTTCATCTCCATTTTTCCTTCTTACCCCTCTTTCTTTTCATTTTACTTTAGGACAAATGTTGACCATTTGGTCTCATATAGATTGGTATCTGATAAGCCAGACTATCATTTGGCTGGCAGGTGACCTCCGTGTGTGGCTTCAGTCTCAAGTTTTAAGGGCATTTCAGAGTGACGGTCTCAGGGATTCTCCTAGTCTCTCTAACTCCACTGAGTGTGGTGTCTTTTTAGGAATTTGAGTTTTGTCCCACATATTTTTCCTACTTTATCTGGGATTATCTACTGTGTCCTTGGTCAGGACAGCTGGTAGCTGTGGCCTGGCACCATATAGTTCTTTTGGTCTCATGATAGATGAAGCTAGAGATATAAAACGTAAGATATGATCCCACCTTTAAAAACTTACAATGTATAAACCTGTTTGCATACAACTTATATACTCCTACTATATGGAAAAATTCTTCTAAACATTTTACAAATATTAATATAATTGGGCCAATAGTTAAAATAGAAATTTGGACAGTAGTGATTGTGGGAGAGGTGATTAATTTGGATTTGGGAAAAGCTGAAGTACAGAATGAGCACAAAGAATATACAGAAAAGTATTTATGGTACAACTTTAAGAATTAAGAGGAATTTGCCAGACACTAAAGGGGCCTTAGAGTATTTCAGGCAGAGGAGCCACCATAAGCAAAGGCTGAACGGTGTAAGAATAGACGGTACAGCCACAAAAACTCCGAGTAAATACACAATCAAGTAACGTCAGTGAGTACACGCTGGGAATTGAAATCAGACAGGTCCTTATTATCTACACAAAAGTCAGTCAAGTGAAGATTTTACAGTAGTTTAGAGACATACTTATTTTCACATAATTATCTGAAAATTGTGAGAAAATATGATCCTCGCTGTTATGTGCCATCGAGTTACTTGTGACTCACAGAGACCCTATGTACAACATACCAGGTAAATAATTTGTAGATGTGTGCATGCATATGTCTACAGGTATATTTTTCAATTTCCTCCCCATATTTAATCCATATAGTCCATAATTTAGTCACTTTAAATTTGATAAAAAATTAAGTACCTTCTTTGTTCTTTTTGTTATGTTTTTCTGCAAGATTAGATAAAGACCTAAAGATAAAAATAAACAAGTTAGTATATTTAAAAACTTATTTGGCAAGTTACATTCAAATTCTTTTGGGAGAAAAGTATTGAACATTATTTGAAGCTGATTTAACATTTTTATAAGTGGTCACTGAAAGTGAGAAGAAGATGACAATATGAATACTGTCATTCTTTGTTGGCATTCGGTAGAGTAACAGTGTATAATCTTTTATGCTCTAAAATAATCAAGGAGACACAATATTGCCAAGTCTATAGGCACAGAGATAAAGGGCTAAATGATTCAGATTACATTATGCTGAGTGAAATGTCTCAGTCACAATAGGGCAAATACTGCATAGCACCACTGTTATAAAGCAGGTCTGGCATGGGGGAGGAGTTGGGAGGAGAATAGGATAAGAGTGGACGGATAAAGACCATTGCATTGGAACAGATGAAAGAAAGAACTGTCTAAAATGAATATATGGTTAGGCATTATATGTACAACAACAGCCCAGAATAAAAGATACATCATTGTAAAGAAGACAGGATGTCAGGGAGGAAATTGTGCAACACTTAATGAATATTTTAAAAAAAAATGAACTGGGGGAGGGGGAAGGGAGGGTGAGGGACTAAAATGTGCAACAACGAATGTGAAAAATCTAACTTCTCTCTAAATGTTTGTTAAAATAAAAATGGAAATAAAATTTTATTGAAAAAAACCCCCCAAAACTTAAGAGTCAATGAAGAAAGGAGAAACATAACTATCCGTCCTCCAAAAATCAGGAATAAAACAACTAACGTACAGTAATTTGACAACTACTGTTGTTGTTAAGTGCCCTAGAGTTGATGACGATTCATCATGTCACTATGAACAACAGGTCTGAACCTTGCCCTGTCCTGTTCCTTCCTCACTGTCTCTGTCATGCTGAACTCCATTGTGATAGTTACTATGTCAATCTATCTTGTTGAGGGTTTTCCTTTTCTCTGACAAGATAGTAAGTAAAAATAGTGTATTTTGTAGCAACTGAGAATTTCCCTTTCCAACTAGGGAGCTCTGGTGGCTTACTGGTAAGAAGGCCACTTTGTGTGTGTATGTGTGCGCGTGCCCATGTGTGTGCGAATGACCATCCAAAAGCACATCGTTCAAATCCACCAACTGCTCTGTGGGAGAAAGACGGGCAATCTAGTTCTGTGCGATGTAATGCCTCTGAAAACTCACTGGTGGGTCAGCTATGGGCTGGTTCCAACTTGCAGTACACGACAGCAACAACAGTAATTTTCTACTGAGTTAAATACAGATTTACATTTCTAGCTATTAGAAAAACACAGCATAATTCTTTTCTAAAGCATTCTTTTTCTTTAGCTTTTTAAAAGAAAGAACAGCAAAATAAAGCATTACTTTTTATAAAGTTAGGATATTATACTTACCATTCTAAATTGTCATCCAGTAAAAAGAGAAGTTTCAATACTACTATGATGATAGCTACAGCTTGTACATCATATTTAACAGTTTTTGCCATTTTAGCTATTGGATCAAATGTCAGAAAATCCACATCTCCTATTCCAGTTATTTTCACCACATGGCAAGTTAAATTATGCATTTCATCTGTTGAAGAACAAAACAATAAAATGTGTATTAGTTTTTTTGTTCACTAGACTATACCAATGAATATACTTATAAATTTTATCTTAAAACATAATGCTAAGTTAGAAGTTGGAGGCATATTCTGGAAAAAGGAAAACAAAAAGTATTAACTCTATTGTATAAGTATTGTCAGGATCTTGGTAAAATATACCCTTTCAAGTTTTGATTTCCTAAAACACCATGAGTTACAGCTGACCTGATAGCATTAAACAAGCAACAAGACAGTGACTAGTTCGGCTATTCCTCAGATTTTTATTTTGATACATACCTATAGCCCGTGTTTCTACAGGAACTGAATAGACTAACTGCCCTCAACACCAACTGTTTTTTCTAGGGAAGGTACATTTGGTCCGGGCATCACGGCTTGTACTCTTGAGGCCCTCCATGTGTACTTAATCTGATGTACTATTTTCCCAAGGAAATCAGAAGCTCAGCAAGCACAGCATTTATTACTCAAGGCTGAATAATGCGAGACTTGGAACCAGAAAATCTAGGCCTATATTTAGGCTTCCTTATCATTAACTTTGTAACTAAGCATCAGAGTCACTTAAGCTTAGTTTATTTGTAATATGAATTATGGTGAGAATAAATGGAGACTAAATCACGTAGTGAGAGCTCTGGTGGCCTAATACCAAGAAGCTGGCTGCTTCTTGAAGGCATGTAGTTCAAGGCCATTAGCTGCTCCACGGGAGAAGGAGGGCAATCTCCTTCCCTTCTATTAACTGCTTCTGAAAACCCACCAAAGGGTCAGCTATGGGTTGGTTCAGACTCTGGTAAACAACAACAACAACAACAAATCACATAGTAAAATTCATGTATTTTGTGATCTTTAAATTATCAAACAACTTTTTCCACTCAATAATGCAAGGTATACCATATTCTAATTAATTTCAAATATAAACAGTTACTACTGTAAGAGCTTAATTAACTTGTGTTGAATTGGTTAATCAGTGACATAATCTAGCTGGTGTGACTCCTCATATATAACACAATATAGCCGTTAAGACAGGAGAAGTAGACTGAAGTAAACTGTCTGGATTGGAATCTTTGCTCCATAACTTACCAGTACATTACCTTTTTGCATCTCAGGAGTTTTTCCTCTCTATCTGAGATATAAATAACAATAATGCACTTACATTACTATACTTAGACCAAAAGGCTGTTTTCTGTAAACAGAACAAGGGAACACAGCATGGTATAAAATTGTTGTTGTTGTTGTTGTTATGTGCCATCGAGTCTCTTGCTACTCACAGCGACCCTATGTACAAGAGCTCTAAATGCTGTTCTATCCTGTGCCAACCTAGCCATCTCAAATGCACTTATTCCCACTGCTCCAGTCACAGAATCGATCCATCTCATTAAAGGTCTTCCTCTCCTTCGCCGCCCCTCTAATCTGCCAAACATGATGTCCCTCTCCAAGGACCAGTCCCTCCTTGCAACATGCCCAAAA